ATATACAGTAGTCCCTCATTTATCACTGGGCATCCGTACCCTGAATACCCGTGATAAGTGAAAAACCAAGTAGGAATAGTAGTACAAGTAATAAGTAGTTTATTTTTATTGCGTGTGTGTATGTGTGTGTGTGCGTATACTGTATATGTATATGTCTGTGCATGTATATGTGTATATTAGGGATGCACGATATTATTGGCATGGTATCGGTATCGGCCGATATTAGCGTTAAAGTTCAATATCGGACATCAGCCATTCCATTAAAATAACTTGCCGATATAAAAGGTGCTGTTTTTACCTGCAGCGGCAGCACAACGTGATAGCGTTGCAGCGGCATGACGTCACGTGCACCTACCCGATCTCATGGCGTAGAGGAAAATTCAAAATGTCGGCAGTGTGGAAGTTTTATTTTTCATTGGTGAGGATATCAGGTTCCAAAAGATTTATGGACTACATTGTGCCTCGCTACATCGTCCTCAGTCGGAGATATTTTTCCGACGTAATGTTACCAGAGTTACAAGCCGTCATTTCTGATGTCATTGAGAAGCTACTAGCTGATAACACAACTTGTTGGGTGAGATTTACCACAGACATTTGAATGTCAAGTGTTAGCCTCGTTAGCATGATTAAGTCTTACGGCACAATGGATAGACAAAAACTTTGTACTTAAAAAGGCTGTCCTTCATACACAGGAGTGCAGATGATCCCACACTGCAGCTAGGAACCTGGAACAAGCCTCCACAAGTGAGACTGCATCACAGGTGACTAATGCTAATAAATAATATTTAACACTTTTCATTTAATATAAGTTAAAGGGTTATGCATATGGTTGTTACTGAATATATGTCACCAGCTCTTACAGCTGTTACACAATTATTGTAGCAAATAAGCCTAAATAACAGGGCTATGTTCTGACAAAGGAAATATTATATAAAATATTATACATTATATATATAAAATATTGGTATCAACATCAATTATCGGCCGAATAAGTTTTGACATATCGACATA